CCGCGCCAGCTTGAGTTAAATTTCACGGTAGCTCAAAATGAATTTAATCATTCATCTTGAGCTTCATGTTATGAATGAATGAGAATTGCGCGAGGCAGTGCCGTTGGGCTATTGGGTATATTTTTATCGCTCCAATAGCCCGGGCTACTGGGTGGATATTCATCACGACCTCTGTTCCCAATCATGATAGTGGATCGTCGAGCCTTTCAAATATATTTTTGAAGATGTGTACCACCTCACACCCTCGCCAATCGATTGTCATGAAATTTTGCGCAGTCACATCTTGAACGAATGATTCTGGTATTTGAACACGTACCCACCCTCTCAGCATCGACGTTTGAGATCTGCCCGCACTTCATTTCGCCAGTCTGCTCGCATATCTGCGACTAACATCTTCGTGAGGATCGCAGCGTCTAACCCCACTGAAGCGTGAGGCTGTTACACGTAGCATAGGCCTGGGTCGAGTAGCGAAATGTGAGTCTGCGGTTGCCTTTCGATAGAATCACACCAGCATGAAATGTAGACATGTTGAAGCCTGCAGTCAACAGAAAAGGGAGCGGAGGTGTTTGAAAAGTGGTGCATTACCCACGGCGAAGCGCAGTTGTGGGCTACTAGAGTTTTAAAGCTATGCAGTGACGCAGGTTCTTTAAGTTGGGATTCGTATAATTTCTTTCGCACCGAACAAAACTTCAGCAGTTGGCGGCTAGGCATGAGTGATACCGTATCACTGGTGTGGCCACGAGTACTGCGTAACGCCTGCACGCGTAGTGCTCCTACGTGTGCATGTATTGGCGTTGTCGAGATCGAACCGAATTTACTCTCGCAAATCCTACGAGGTCGCCAAAAATTCCTCACTCGAAAAAAGGGAAAGAGTGAACCCAGAGCCACGCTGCATAAAGCATGCTCTGCCAGGAGCTGCAGATCATAACGACTAATCCAACCCTGGTTGTCTACCAGTCCGGGCTTGTCCTGGGGCTAAGTGCTCCCTCACAGGCTGGAATGGCTTTCATTTTCGGATTTTCCACGAGGTTACGCTAGACCACATTCATTCTCGACTGGTTCGCCATGAAAATGATCACGAACAAGCAGACCAGTCGCCGCCTCGCCAGGCTGCCGAACTTTGTGCTTATCCAGATACTCAAAGCCACTGTGGCACGTCTTTACCGCCTCGAGATGGAGCTAAACGAACTGGAGTTGGCTCTGGACGACGACCAAAAAGAGATCGAGGGATACACCTATGAGATCGACGAGTGTCACGACCGCATGCAAGACATTGACGAGTTCGTGCGTGCAATCCAGGCTGGTGAAGTCCCAGCGTTACCCAACACAGCATTCGCTTTGGTGGAGATGGAGGAGGAGCGCGAAGAGGAGGAGAACGCCATCAACAAGTACAAGGAGGCCCGTGGTTGGCACGAGGAGCAATTTCAAAAACTGCAAGGGCAGTGCGCTATGCTCAAGAAGGAACGTGCTGGACTCCATAAGACGTGCATTGAAATATGTTCAATCTTCCGGCGTAGTGGCGTTTTCGGAGTGATACGGGCGAGACTGGTCAAACTCAATTCCAAGTCGGCATAACAGCGCTGATTGGACTAGGTGTCCGTCGTATTGGTGTAGCATGGCATGAAAAAGACCAACGAACCGATTATATGTGTAGGCGAGCTTTACAATGCCAGATGAGCACCGGTATTTAAAAAAAAAATACAGCGAGCAAGGGTAATCATGATGGTGTACCGGTGCAAGCCACCTTTTTTTATCTGTTGAGATGCTTTGTAGATGTATTGAAAGACGAGTCTAGCACCAATGGCGAAAAGCGAACAAACCCAACCAAGCACCAAATTTGTTAATGATTAGTTAACGCAAGCAGAACGTTTGAAATGCGATTTTTCGCCTTTCGTCAAAACTGACGAAGTGGAGTTGAGAAAACAAATACGGTTAAGAGTTACGAAGTATAAAACACAGACGATCCCCTTGGCAGTCATAGCGCTTTGAGCCACCAATTTATTCCTGTCTAAGGGTATTCCTATCCATGAATGTACCACAAATGGATCCGAGTACCTTTCCTTTTTTTTGCAATGCAAAATTTACTAATGGAGACGATTGATGTAGCTCGTTACTGACGCTTCACCCTGTTTTGCTCTTCTATTGCCAGTTTTGCCTCGCCACACCAAGATATCCTCCTCCCTAGCCCAGCCAGTCCGCCTCACAACCACAAACACTCAACGACTGCTGTACAACTATGCTAGTACCACGCTCACAACCCAATCTATCCCAAACAGAGCTAGATTCATGGGCTCATAGAATCTACAATCTTTCTCTGGTTTCCACAAGTCATGACCTGGTAGCTATTAGTGCGCTGAAAAGCGCTGGACTCACCTACGTTCTCGCAGTTGGCCACAAAATTGCGGCATGCGGTGCGCCATCCTAAACTCGACAAATTCCTTGCCAGTTGGGTCTCCTGGTGTAAAGAGAAGGGTGTCACCGTCATGGATGAGGCAATTTGACTGAAGGCAAAACGTTCCTCCGTGATACTAAAGCTCGAGTCACGTCCAAAGTGGTCAAAAGGATAGGCTTTATCGGTTCAACATTCGGATCGGACGTGTCAGCAATAATGCTCATGTGTAATTATGACTGTTCCCATAGTTAAGCACCGCAGAATATGAATATTTGACTTTAAATGTTTTTCACTTTACAACTAAGGGGTGGAAGGGAATAATATCTTGGGTTTGTAAGCAACTGGTTAACGAGAACTGCTAATTAATTGCTGTTGAGGGAGTATTCCTAGTCTAGGGATTACTACCGAGGGGATCGTCTGTAAGTGCTTTTCGTCTCAGTCGCCGATACAGTCAGGGTAAAATATCATTCAGCAAAAGCCCACATCATCATGTGGTTTGAAAAGCTTTCGTTGATCTAATAGCCTTGTTACTTTACTACTATACGTTTTACTCCTGTACAAGTGCGAGCTTCGCAACACAAGCGCACGAGCAAACAGTTACAGTATCTGAGGCAAGGAATGCTATCGATGCAAGGTTCAGATACTATTGTGCTGAAAGGTCGATAAGTATCACTTCCGCCCACCGGCTCTACCACGGGTGGATAGTAAGCGGAAGTAAGCTGTGTATCCAAGCCCCTGCTTTTTCATCCCTTCTTCTCCAAACTCATTACAGTCGGCGGTTGACAGAAGTGCCGTAAAACAGGCTCCTGAGAAAAGGCTGGAAATGAGTGCCTCAAAAGAAGAGTGTAGCATCATGGGGCAAATCCTAGCGGCAGACGGAAACGAAGGCACATATTTGGGCATCCGCCTTTTCTAGCCATAAGATAACAGTCGCAAAAAGTCTGTCTTTACGTATGATGCACAGTTTCGTGAAAATTCGAGTTAAACACGAATTCGTAATAATTATCGTGAAAAATAAGTTTTGTAGAATGGAGATGCTAATATTTCGCACTTCACTTGTTTTTTTTCCAATAAATCTTGATCACAGTGGCAACTCACCAGGGACAAGTACGATCTGACGATAACATAAAGCTCCAGGTCAGGTCTTTCACCGGAATTGGTTACTGAGCCGGCTTCTCCTTAATAAGCTTGCTTATTTCCACCCTCGCCACACTATCAGCCTGCAACCTCTTCCCAACCACTCACTGAAGCATTTGTAGCTATTGGATGAAGTATGAGCCAGTGTCTGCAATGTACAGCGGAGTTAAACTGGCGTTCATACCAGGCTATTCGAAATGTAAGTTTTA